AGGATTGCAAGCCAATTTTAAGAAAAAGCTGTCAGCTTTGATGGGATAGGGATCAAGCACCCAAGCCACTTGCATAGCCCAAAGGGCTTTCATTTCTGTGGAATGGAATTCCATCTGACAGGATTGGCAAGGCACTCGGAAAAATTATAATTCTGTGCGCTCAAAAAAAAAAGCAGCAGTTATAAATGACGACTGGAAATGATTTAATTAATCAGTTGAATGACTGCCTAGTGGTAAAACACTTCATATCCTGAATCGTTGCTCGTTGAGAATATAGTTTGAAGTCACGATTGGACTTCAGGTTGGGTGTGCTTGAATAAGATTTAACTCTTTGCCCACAACAGACTACATTCAATTAAGATTGCTACACTAAAGTGGATGGGAAGGAGTAAAAAAAGATTTACACAGCTCATCTGTACAAATGGCCAGTGTTTTTTGCCTGTAACTACATAACATACAGTAACAATGCACTGGTGAGTTTCACAGTGATTGACCAGTTGGGACCACCCTTCCTGTTAAGGCTTTGAGTTTCCAAGTCTCATTGATGAGCCAGACAGGCTGGCAACTATTAATAATGCCTCAGGTTATAATAGACCCAGTTTAGAACACACACTACCTCCTCCAGCTCATCACCTTCCCCTTATTCCCAAGCAAGAACAGCGGTTAGCATACTGTTCCTTCATTCTTGGAAATAATATTCTTAGTTTTGAAACTTCACAAGTGATGAATCATCATGGCTTTCTGTCTTCATTTGTTATTCGTCATTACTTTTTGAATGATGGAAACTTCTTAATAGAAAAACAGACCTTTACTAAACAAAACTGAGCAGAAATCTATCTTTATTCTTTATCTGTCACTTGGGTTTTGCCTGGATTAATGCATTTGTTGAAATGTCCTTGTTCGGTTCCAGTAAAAAGATCTTTATTATTGTTAAATAGGATAAATTATCATTCCCAGTAACAATGATAATAACCACATTTTGTCAGGTCAATAGTGTATTAACTTCAAACTCATGTATTTCTGCTCCCTTGACCAGCATGAAGGAGGCATTGGAGGCTGAGCCTATGAAAATCATTTGCACGTGTTTCCCGATAGCCACAGGGTAGCTTTGGCAGATATCCAGGTAACCAAAAAGGATGGTAGAGACTTGGATACAGTTCAACTATAATAATATAATAATACTCCTTGCATTTGATATAGCGCCTTATCACGTTGTTGTGACGTCTCAAAGTGTTTTGCGGAATATACTGTAAAGTAAATTGACTGTATATTTTGTGGGCAAATGTGATAAGTCACCTGAGGAATGCACCCACTCAGATGACTGTGCTCGGCATTACACTTGAATATCCAGCAGAGAAGGGAGGAGAAAGAGAGAACCAAATACATTTTTAGCTTCAAATTTCAGCTGTGGTAAGTTACGTCCCTCGGGAGATTGAACGGGTTTGGTAAGGTCCACAGCTGGGGAAACTGTGCTTAATCTGTGGAGCCTTGATGGACCCTTCAAAATTTGTTTCATAAACTCAGTTTAAGATACAAGAACATTATTTCACTGAGGACCTTACTGCTAATGGAGAGTGTACAATTTCATCCCAATAGTCTGCTGTATTCAAATCGAGGCCCTAGGGTTGAAAGGATAGTCTTGTAGCCCACTGCTGTGGACCACAACTGTTGAAATATTAAGCCATGCATTTCTTTGCCGCCGCCCCCAATGTATTTTGGGCATTTTTCAACTAATAGCTAGGTGCTTTACCCTTAGTTGATACTTTTCCGCGTTGTTGGAACTCTTTGTGTTTTGTGATACTATTAAATTGCCAAGTTGTTACGCAGAAGTTAAATTTCGCATTTGTCGGGGGGAAAAAAGAATCAAGGAGATTTTTATTTTGGCGTATCCCATGCTTTCATGACTTTAGAATGTTCTGTTCACATATACAGTTCAGCGTAATAAAGCAATCCTACGTGTGCTCGTTTGCATTCTGAAACCTGCAGATCCTCTCAAACCACCAATGTGCAACAAGCACCATCAAGTGGGCAAGAATTGAACTGCAGTAGGGTATACACATACGCTTCCAAATGAAATCCTTCGACGTTCAATTTAAAATTACTAGCTTATTCAAAGATTGTTATTTTAAAAGCTATGAGAATGGAAACTTAATCATTTGCTTCAGCTTTCAATGTGGCAGTGTCAGTTTGGCTTAATTGGGAGCACTATTCCAAGTAAGAGTTGGAAGGTGCAGTCAGAGAGCTAGATTATATTGTGGTCCCTCACAAAGGATGGATATATGTTCAGTGAGATGTTGGTGTGCAGATGTCAATGTGTGAGCCCTATTTTGTTTGCAGGAATAATTCCTGCAATTAGTTCCATGGCTGTGATTTAGATAGTTGCGACTCAATGTACTTTACGGAAAGGTAATACAGAGGTTTCAGTGATGGGACAGTAACAGTGACAGAAGAATATTATTACTTTTCTAAATGCTTAGTGACTGTGTGAACGTCACTAAACTTTTTGTGACTTTTCGCTGGTCACATTTCTGCCAATTTTCAACACTATTTTTGTAGCTCAAAGAGGACTGCTGTCAATGTGATTCTGAATCCATACCTTTTGCAATAAATTTAGGTAGTGTGATTGCTAAAAGTCATTGCATTCAACAACAATTACCTGAGAATTACTTTGAACCATTTCCACATGTTAAGACACCATAAACACAAGCTGTTTTTCTTTCCTGTAATTGAAATGATATTCAAGTTCCAGAAATCATCTGCATTTGTGACAGTTTCAGATAGATTAGACAAGTAGGCTATTATCTACATTGTTACTGGTGGGTGGGTTGGTAACCAGAGCGCACAGATTTAAGGTGATTGGCAAAAAAAACAACGGGGAGATGAGAATTTTTTTTACACGGTGAGTTGTTAAGTTTCACCCACAAAATATGTAGTCAATTCATTTTACAGTATATACTGTGAAGCTCTTTGAGAAGTCTAAAAAACATGATAAGGCACTATATCAAATGCAAGGATTATTAGTTTTTATCTGGAATGCAATACCTGAAAGGGTGGTGAAAGTAGATTCAATAATAACTTTCAAAAGAAATTGAATATATACTTGAAAAGAAAAAAAATTGCAAAGCTATGGGGAATAAGCGGGGAAGTGGGAATGATTTAATAATAAATAATAATTCTTGCATTTAATATAGCGCTTTTCACGTCTTCTAGACGTCTCAAAGCGCTTCACAAAATATACTGTAAAGTGAATTGACTATATTTGTGGGCGAAATGCGGCAGTCAGTTGCGAACAGCAGTATCCCACAAACAGTCATGGATTGAAGTTATCAATTTTATTATTATTTTCTTTTCTTGAGGGATTATCAGGCCTTTGAAGTAAGGAAACTTGTCTAAGGTTTCGCCTTGCCACGAATCGAACCCAGGTCTCTCGCTTGCGAGGCGAGTGCTCTAACCACTGAGCTACAGGATTCTTCAAGATGGGTAGCTCTTTCACAGGCACAGGCACGATGGGCCGAATGGCCTCCTTCTGTGTTGTAGGATTCTATGATTCTGTTTGCCAAGAAACACAACATTTGGTTGGTTGTATGCAAGAACAATCTCCGACCAAGTGCTCTTCACTATATAGGATGCGCTGCTGTCCTGTAGTGAAATCCATTAAATAACGGTGACTTCTTTGTTCCTTACCATGCTATTTTTCCTCCTTCCTGTAACAGTGCTTCCTAGTAACCACAATATCAGGTGGGCTATTTTGTCTAGATTGCATGTCCCACTAATAAATTCAAGGGAAGAATTTTTCCCTCAGTGGATCTTGCTTGGAACTTTAATTACTGGCATCTTTTCCTGCAGGTAATATCACCATCAACACCACAGACCCAGAGCACTTGTACTTAGACTCTGTTTTCGAGTAAAGGATTGAACGCTGTGCATGAGATAGTGACCAAAATGCAGTTTAGACTAATGCACTAATCAAATTCAGACGCTTTTAATTTTGTAAATAACCAATGAAAAAAAATGCAGAAATTGCCTTGTATTAAGTTCCTTTTAAATGCCTGTCTACTTTTTATGGCATGCACGATAAAATATTGATTTGGTATTTTGGTTCCCTTTAGAGTATACTCTCTAACTCATTCTTCATCGATAGATACCAAAGGAAATATTGAATGCAAAGGAAATTACTCCCAACACTTTCCCACTTTTACATAAGTGTGAAATATGGTCAGGGAAGCAAAGGGATCTCTTGAGTTAGATTAAGTGCAGAATGTTTTTTCTCACCCATGTCCCCTAACTCCACAGAGTGCCTCCTCTTGTACCAATCTGGCATTTACATTTCCTTTGGCAGCTATCGTATCCTTAAGATGTATTAAAGCTGGACAGTGATTTCCTAATTTCTTGCGTTTCTGACCCTTTTTACGAGCTATCAGTGTTTGGACTGAAGCCCAGGTTTCAGAATTCAGTTTAAGCCATTGAGAGTGTTCTTGTAAACTGAGAGAAGTAGCCTGCAATTATCAAAATATGCACAGAGCAAGCACAATGTAATGGTGCTGTAGTGGCTTTGATGAGTGGTTATTACTAAGTCCCCGCACTGTAACAACAACAACTTGGATTTATATAGCGCCCTCCATGCCAGACGGCGTCTCAGAGCGCTTCACAGTAATGAATCCCGGGGCTGTAATGGCTCATGGTAAACATTTGGGAAAAGGCTTTATTATACCTGATTAATAACCCATTTTTTACAACCCGTAATGTGGTCACTACCACTCCGGAGTCACCGTACTTATTTATTTTTGTTCAACGTGGGTGTATAAAAATGGGCTTCAAATTCAGTCACTCTGAAGCATAACTATCAAATTGGAATTGTTTTCTCAGATAAATTCAATGAAAATTGTTCACCTGTAAAGGTTAATTTGTAAAACGTAGTATTGGCTGTAACTACAGCTCTGATTGTGACATTCACACTCTATCCTTTAGATATTCATGTTTAACTCTCTTTCCTGTTTCAGTCTGACTGCTGAAGGGTATGGCCAGCCAGTTGGCATCCCTGGACGCCCAGCTACAGCTTACGGCTACCGCCCAGATGATCCTTATTTCTATGCATTCGGAGGCAGATAAACGCAACAAGGAATATTTATTATCACTTTTATAACACTCCTTGTATATAATTTGATCTGTTGTGGGATCCTTGTCATTATTGCATGCCATGTTAACTAGTTTCAGGTTCAGGTTATTTGATTTTGTATACTATATTTATGCAGCAGAACGATGTCTTGACTTCAGTAAATAATATGAACTGGATTTTATTTTAATGTATGTGGTCTTTTTTCCTATTGGACAACTGGTTGACTATTAGGAATTTCAATGGAGGGTATTGGTGTAAAAGCACTAATTTTACAAAGGTGGACCTAAACACTGGTCTTATAAAGGTGGACACTAATACAATAGCTATTTAATCTGCTAACTAAATTATGGGATTGGATTTTTGTTAACTTCATGAAATGCTTAATATCTGAGCATTTTATATTGTCTATCTTTCAATTTGCTTACTGTGATGAACACAGTATTCAAGTAAATTTAATTCATTCATTCACTCAAATAAATTCACAAGATATAGCAACACATCCTATCTCTAAACCACTTGAATTTTCCTGTTTGTTGGCATCTTGTTATTCCTGGTCTCTTCTGTGTTTCAGATTGTTAATATGTTTCTGTGATAAGTAACTGTGAACTTTATTAGCTTTGATGCTGGTTCTATATTATTAAATGCACTGTAAATTTCTTTTGCATTTTATGAACATGCTTAATGTAAATATGAAAACTTCAAATAAACACGCTGTGTTCACTTGTGCTGTTACACTACACTTGTGGTTTACCTGCAACACCATCAACTACTGTACTCCAATTTGGGCTAACCTGTTAAAAACATGGCTACACATCGTTAGATTAAGGTAGAGAGAGATTAGTTCTGTACCAGAATCTCACAATTCTTAAATGCAAGTTATTTCATTAGCAACAATTGAACTCATTTACCGAGGATCCAAACCAGACCTTATCTGCTAAGGAATGATCTGATTTTTTTTCAATAATTTAAATATTTAAATGAATAAAGGCCAAAGTGGCAACAGAGGTGATATCGTGAGGAAACTAACAACAGAAACCAGACTTTTTTCTCAAATACAACAGCAAAAATTCATGGGGCTCCATACTTAAATTGTAGGGGAAGGGAGAGAGTGAAGGTCGGATAGTACCTAATGTAAAGAACAGAGTTATATTTAGGAATTCTCGCCTGCACACATGGTGGGAGAGCTGCACGCACGCATGCAGTCCTCCCTCCTCTCACAAACACGCTTCACCAGACACGCCTGTGCACACGGAGGAAAGGCGGAGAGTAGGACGCTGCTTGCCTGGAGCAAGAGAAAACCTCACCTTGGAGTTGAATAACCATTTCTGATGTTCTTTCGGTGTTTATTATTAATAGTAAGAATATTGATTCTTGCATTTGATATAGCGCCTGATCATGTCGTTGAGATGTCTCAAAGCGCTTCATAGGATATATTGTAAACTGAATTGATTGTAGTTAGTGGATAAATACTGATTTCATTTTTTTGTATGGAGCGTGTTTTAACGGTATTAATTCAAAATTAAAAATCCAAAACCTGAGTTATACTTTAATCGGCCACGGAGGAAATTTTAACTTTTGGCTTTGTGACGAAGTGAAAATGTTTGGCGATATAGCAGATCAATTATAAAATAAATAACCATTTCAAGGTCTTATGTAAAATGATCCCCTTTGTGTCCTGCTCTGGAACAGAATCTTCCACTGGAGTGTTTGTGTGGGCTGCACGAGGGAGCAATCTTCGCAGGGGTACTAAATGCATTATGTCGTTTGGAGATATCCTGCTGTGACAAAGTCAACATTGTGAAACTTGAGGGGGAAAAAATCATCTCACGTCTAAAAGATCTGAACACCCAAAGAAAATGTCTGGAGTCATAGGTTAAAACAATCATATTTCCGTCAGGAATTAACCTGGCGATCTACCACTACCATCTTAAAAAGATTGGATTTGCTGTTATAACAGCGAGCGAGAACTCCAGAAATCACAACGTTCAATCCAATTTTCATTATTGATGTATTCCGTGAACTTCATTTAACATTTCGTCAAAAAGTAGATGCATCAAAAATCAAAGATATTAAAACCAATCATTTCTGTAAGTGTTTTGCGGGGGTTATTGGAGTTTTGCTGTGGAGAGGTATTGGGGTATTACTGTGGGGGCTATTGGGGTATTATTGTGGGAGGTATTGGGGTATTACTGTGGGGGGTATTGGGGTATTATTGTGGGGTATTACTGTAGGGGGTATTGGGGTATTACTGTGGGGGGTATTGGGGTATTACTGTGGGGGGTATTGGGGTATTACTGTGGGGGAGGGGGCTATTATTGTGGGGGGTATTGGGGTATTATTGTGGGGTATTGGGGTATTACTGTGAGGGATATTGGGGTATTACTGTGGGGGGTATTGGGGTATTACTGTGGGGGGTATTGGGGTATTACTGTGGGGGTATTGGGGTATTACTGTGGGGTGTATTGGGGTATTTCTGTGGGGGGTATTGGGGTATTACTGTGGGGTATTGGGGTATTACTGGGGGGGTATTACTGTGGGGGGTATTGGGGTATTACTGGGGGGTAGTACTGGGGGGTATTGGGGTATTACTGGGGGTGTATTACTGTGGGGGGTATTACTGGGGGGTATTGGGGTATTACTGGGGGGGTATTACTGGGGCATATTACTGTGGGTGGTATTGGGGTATTACTGGGGGGGGTATTACCGCGAGGGGTATTACTGGGGGAGTATTGAGGTATTACTGGGGGGTATTGGGGTATTACTGGGGGGGTATTACTGTGGGGGTATTGGGGTATTACTGGGGGGTATTACTGGGGAGGTATTGGGGTATTACTGGGGGGGTATTACTGTGGGGGTATTGGGGTATTACTGGGGGGGTATTACTGGGGGGTATTGGGGTATTACTGGGGGGGGTATTGGGGTATTACTGGGGGGTATTACTGGGGGATATTACTGTGGGGGGTATTGGGGTATTACTGGGGGGGGGGGGGTATTACCGTGAGGGGTATTACTGGGGGGTATTGAGGTATTACTGGGGTGGTATTGGGGTATTACTGTGGGGTATTACTGGGGGGGTATTGGGGTATTACTGGGGGTATTACTGGGGAGGTATTGGGGTATTACTGGGGGGTATTACTGGAGGGTATTGGGGTATTACTGGGGGTATTGGGGTATTACTGGGGGGTATTGGGGTATTACTGGGGGGGTATTACTGGGGAGGTATTGGGGTATTACTGGGGGGGTATTACTGGAGGATATTGGGGTATTACGGGGGGGGTATTACTGGGGGGGTATTGGGGTATTACTGGGGGGGTATTGGGGTATTACTGGGGGGGTATTGGGGTATTACATGGGGGGGTATTGGGGTATTACTGGGGGGGTATTGGGGTATTACAGGGGGGGTATTGGGGTATTACTGGGGGGGTATTGGGGTATTACTGGGGGGGTATTGGGGTATTACTGGGGGGTTATTACTGGGGGGGTATTGGGGTATTACTGGGGGGGTATTGGGGTATTACTGGGGCTGTTGAGCCACTGTTTGAATTTAAACCCGCGCTCGAGACCTTGGCAGTTGAGAGTGGGGTCTCGGCTGCGCACGCAGTAGGCAGTTGAGCGACACGTCATCCGCGCTGCCCGTGCGGCGCTGATTGGCTGAGGGACGGGAGGCGAAGAGAGTGGGAGTGGGGGAGAGAGGGGCTGCGAGCGGACAGAGAGGTAAGAGCCTCACACCGACACCACAGCCCTGGGGGAGGGCAGACAGACAGACAGACAGACCCGCTGTACAGTACAGAGCAGCGACAGGGACCGCGGGGAGAAGAGGCGGATTAGAGTTGGTGGATGCAGTGGAGGGATTGGCACCAGTTCAGGCCCCGATAGGCCTCCCGGTGCACGTGCGTTTGTTTATGTCTGTCTATGATTGTCTGGTTGGTTGTGGCTGTGGTTGTGAGTGTGTCGGTGTCTGATAGTGTTCTGTCTGTGATTGTTTGTGTCTGTGTTGTGTGTGTCTGTGATTGTGTGTCTGTGATTGTGTGTGTCTGTGATTGTGTGTGTCTGTGTTGTTTGTGTCTGTGTTGTGTGTGTCTGTGTTATTTGTGTCTGTGTTGTTTGTGTCTGTGTTGTTTGTGTCTGTGATTGTGTGTGTCTGTGTTGTGTGTGTCTGTGATTGTGTGTCTGTGATTGTGTGTGTCTGTGTTGTGTGTGTCTGTGATTGTGTGTGTCTGTGATTGTGTGTGTCTGTGTTGTTTGTGTCTGTGATTGTGTGTGTCTGTGATTGTGTGTGTCTGTGTTGTTTGTGTCTGTGATTGTTTGTGTCTGTGATTGTGTGTGTCTGTGTTGTTTGTGTCTGTGATTGTGTGTGTCTGTGATTGTGTGTGTCTGTGATTGTGTGTGTCTGTGATTGTGTGTGTCTGTGTTATTTGTGTCTGTGTTGTTTGTGTCTGTGTTGTTTGTGTCTGTGATTGTGTGTGTCTGTGATTGTGTGTGTCTGTGTTGTGTGTGTCTGTGTTGTGTGTCTGTGATTGTGTGTGTCTGTGTTGTGTGTGTCTGTGATTGTGTGTGTCTGTGATTGTGTGTGTCTGTGTTGTGTGTGTCTGTGATTGTGTGTGTCTGTGATTGTGTGTGTCTGATTGTGTGTGTCTGTGTTGTTTGTGTCTGTGTTGTGTGTGTCTGTGATTGTGTGTGTCTGTGTTGTTTGTGTCTGTCTGATTGTCTGTGTCTGTGATTGTGTGTGTCTGTGTTGTTTGTGTCTGTCTGATTGTCTGTGTCTGTCTGTGATTGATTGTGACTGTTTTGGTCGGTGATTAGGTTTGATTCCATGATTCACCCGAAGTGAAATGGTCACTTAAGGGAACCACGAGCCCCACAATCCTGTGCCATTGGGTAAGAGGGCATGTGCTATCATTTGATTGTCCATCCTTTTTCACAAGTTTATTGCCAATATTTAAGGTCCCAGTTTGTGAATAGCGTCCGCCTTCTGATGGCACAGCATAGGAATGGATATCACAAGTGAGATCACAAAGTTGGTCAGTTGGTCATTTCATAATAATACCTTACTGCCTTTCATGTAAAGTAAACCTCTCTCGAGTGCTTTGTACATTAAAATATTTAATAATCCCTATAACAATCCTCATTTAATATCGCGTCTTGTCATGCTGTTGAAACATCTCAAAAACGCTCCACGGGGGGTGTAGAATTGTTTTTGCAGTATAGAAGAAGGACATTCGGCCCATTTATATGTGAAATGAAACATCCTGTGTCATTGGGAGGAGCGTGTGCCATAATTAGATTTTTCTCTTGCATTTGGTGTTGAGAGCCAGGAAAAGTGGGGGAGGGGGTTCAGCACTTTGGATCAGAAAAGTGCTACATAAATATAATGTCGTTCAACGCCGCCCTACGTTGGACAGTAATTACCTGTGAAGCCTTTTAAGATGTTTCAGCATTGATATCAAACGCAAGGATTATTTTACCTACGGCTACATTCAGTCAATCGGTCAGGGAGCAGAAATGTCCCCAATTACATGTGACATCATGAGTGGAGCCTACGCAGTGCTTCCCATTCATGATGTCACCTGAGCTGAGCTTTATAATGTCACAGTGCGATAACAATGTAAAATGTCTCCTTCCACCTGCCTGTGGTGAGCAGGTTTGAAGGATAACGGTGGGTCTCAAAGGGTGACTTGAGTCAGTGGTAAGTGTACAGAATTGTCGCATTCAGAATTATAAGGGGCATTTGAGTAGATGCAGCTTCCTCTTTAAACCAAAAGGAGCAAACTACGTCGAGGGTCCCAATATTTCTGATTTGTTGATTAGTGCTGCCAACAACAAAACCAAACTATTTAACATTAATTCAATCCCTACCCAAAATGGAAAATCTTAAAAACTACTCATGACCAACCACAGGGTGTCTGTGAGTTGAGTGGGTTCAGGTGACATCACAAACCACCAGCTAATCAAACATTACATAAATTTACCTGGAAGTTTTCGCCATAGCAATAAACCGAAAACAGTTGGAACATAGCGAAGCAGTTCGCAACAGTCCTTGTTTGATTCACAATTCACTACGATGGATTACACCTTCCATTCGTAATAAGTGCTGCTAAATTAGTGAAGGTGCCAATGCTGACTCCTCCTCCTCCACCCTTTCACCCATAAGATACTTCAATTTCCAGGCCAAAGAGACTCCTTTGTGTTACTGCAAGTATGGGGCAAGGCACTTTTCTCTTACAGACGTATCTGTTCTATAATGTGCAACGTGTTCAATTCTTTCTGTAGTTGGGTTAGATTCTTATTTAATATAGTTGCATTATTTGTGAAACAATATAGAATTGGAGCTTTGATCAGTGTTAATAATAAATAACACTTGCATTTGATATAGGTCTTATCACGTCTTTGAGATCTCACAAAGTGCTTCACAGAATATACTGTAACGTGAATTGATTGTATATGTTATGGGCGAACATGACAGCCAATTGCGCACAGCAATGTCCCACAAACATTCATGGAATGAGTGACCAAATTATTATTTTTGAATACAGTAACTACCCTTTACAGTAAAAGTCCTGTGAAGCACTTTGAGATGTTGCATCAACATGATAAAGCACAATATCAAATGCAGAGATTATAATATATTATCTCCCTCTGATTACTCTCCTCTCCTGGTGCATTCATGGTGGGCATACCTCCAGCTGAGAGGATGGCAGGAGCCACGATTCAGAAAGCATATTTTGCTTGTAAATATTCGTACTTCTAGATTCCTCAGTTTTGTCTGCTTACTTTAATTGGCATAACATTCTGTGGAGCAGCAAAGTGTCAGACACCTGGTGCAGCTGGATTATGAATTTGCTTGGTGCTGGAAATGCTACTTATTATTTTTAAAAGTTTCAACATGTCCACAGGGCAAGATCAACAAAGTGTTTGGTTGTTTTCTGGGTGCCTTATGTCATTTATAAGCTATAATTCCTAGGAATTTCCACGATTTGTTTTATAGCCCTATATGATAGCATTAGAGATTATCTAGGATAGCTGCAAAGTAAGTTTGGCTACATTATGCTTTATACAAAGTAAAAGATATTTGAATAAGCAATTATATTGTTTTGGTATTTTTGTTATGCAAACTTATCTTCCCATAGAGAAATGCCTTTTCTCTGGTACTTTTCCACGTTGGTGAAATGATGAACTGAGCTAGGTGCATTGGGTTCATTCCTAAACTTCTCCTCTCACTGAATTTTCGATCTCAGCAGTATTCTGCTCCGTTTCTATAAGTAATCAAAAAATACATGTTGCATTGTATTAAACGTGGCATAGTGCAATGTCCTTGTGTGGAGAATATTGTGATTAATTAAGATAGCTGCGGGTGAAGTAAAAGACATACCTTTAATTTAGTTGTTGTAGACTCGGGGAGAATTTTTTTTAATAATGCTATAAATATGATGTTTCTTTTAAAAAGGAAGAGTGAAGACTTCTTTCTTTGTGCATGATCTGGACCAGATCACTAGGGACATCTCAGTATGGGAAGAAGTTATGTTCTTGGGGAGTACAGCGAGAGATATCTTAAGAAGCTGAAGGCAGAAGAGAAGTATGGGACAACTGGTATTTTACTAGGACAGGTAAGCAAAATGCTGTGATATTTTACTGGCAAAAATTCTTGCCAGCTTTCGGTCATCTTTCCCCTCCCCAGCCCTTTAACTACTGTATTTAATCATACAAAAGTTGCGTCAGTGCATACAATAAAACTTGCAGAAGTCTAATTTGTATAAATCGTATGATTGCCAAAGATGTACATCTGACCAAATTCTGTTCAAGAGTTTATATTTGATGCAAGTTTGACATAACTCATACTTTTCAAAAGTCATATTAAATGTATGGTCCCAATTGATGTGATTTATATGAGATGTACTGTAATGTGTTGGTTTTTTTAACTAATACTATAGGTCCTCACTTCCCCAAACAGCTGAAAGAATTGTACCCCTTTATGAATTTATGGGAAACTCGTGGGTTTAAAAATCCTGATGATCAGATCGAATTTCATTGTTCTTTGTGTGAGGACTTTGTACATTTCTTTCACATTATTCAAGTACCGTGCAAATGAGAAAATGTGAATCTCAGTGCTGCTGCATTGCAGTACTGAAATTGAATCTCTGATTGTTCATTATGAAAGAGAAATCTGATGGATCATTCTTCCTTAGGCCATCTAGGCAGACAACAGCTGCAGTTGAATTAAGTGACATACCTTTAATTTAGTATATGGAACTACCAGATCAAAGTGCTACCATTTACAGTGACCTCTCCCTTTGGATGTTCCTGAGACTCCATGCTTACAGATATCTAGGCAACCTGTTAATGGTTTGTCTCTGGGAGAGACTTGCACAGTGTTATCTCTTCAGTTTAATATTATCATCAACTGGGAGAATCCCAAGTTCAGTCATCTAAGAGATAACAAAGAAAAAGTGAAAATGCAGCGAATCTAAAATATCTACCTGAAGTGTGTCTACTATTTTTGCAGATTACTTCAACAAAAACCTATATTATTTTTGCTGCTCGAACCCCACCTAAAGAACCACAGGCGAGTGCAGGTGATTCGCCCAGTACGAATGAATTGGAAGCGACTGACGTTGATTGGGTTTGTGAGCATGCTCGACAGGTCAGTGTTTGCATGAAATTAAATGCTATTAAACAATGGTGGGAAAGACATCTTGCTGTGAATTATGCACTCTGAGACACTATCCTGCGTGAAAGTCACTATATAAATCCAACTTGTTGTTGCTATTACGATTGTGTCTTACTACTCTCTTTTATTCAAGGGATTCATTGTGCATTATACAGTAAACTCCTGGCTTACAATAAGAGCCTGCACTTTGCTTTCTTACGTGTGTTTAAAAATAAAACTGGTTTGCAAAGATCTAGCATTTCTAAGAGATTTATGATGATTGTTCGAAAGATTGGACATATTCAATTTCAAAGTTTGTCCTTTTCCCAGAATCTCATTCCTTAAATTGTATTGTCAGATTCAACATTCCTGAATATGTTCCTTTGTTTGAGGAATATACAGGACTGGAAGTGCATATGTAGTATGTCTGGGCAGCTTCAAAAGCATACAATATGATTTTTGTCAGCATCTAGTCTCCATAGTCATTCTGTTCCTGTATTCATTCACAGTAGTAATTAATCTGTAACTATTTGATCATCTTCTGTCTTCTGAATATAGTCTTTGTTGCAGAGTTTGAATTATTTATTATTATTTGAATTATGTTGCTACCTCGATATAATGTTAAGAACTAATAAGATCTTGGGTTTAAACATTCCCACTTATTACCCGCTCAACGGGCTCTGACCTGCTCCATGTCCCCCGACCTGCCCGCCCCACCATCAGCCTTTCTGCCCCCCACCCTTTGGAACGCCATCCCACAGTCCCTTCACCTCGCCCCTTCCTTTGCCTTCTTCAAGGCCCGTCTCAAGACCTTTCTTTTCGACCATGCCTTCAGTCATCCTCCTACTCTTCCTACCCTCCACCCCTCCTAATCCCAACCTCATCTTGGGTGCAATTACTTGACTGTCCAGTGCCTGGGGACGTCCTCCCGAAGTGAAAGACGCTATACAAACGTAATTTCTTGTATTTATTCAGTTACTGTTGGTCGCTACCTCAGAACCTAAGCTATAACTCAGCCAGTAAAAGGGAGTTGCTGCATTTTGTTTCAGATCAGGTGTGAAACCGGGTTTTGTCTGCTTGTTGAAATGGACTTCAAAGATTCCATTACTCTATTTGAAAAGAGAGGAGTTTCTTCCATTGAGCTGGCTGACAGTACTTCAAATTAATTGGACATAACTGTTTGTGGGGTGTAAATAGCTGCCATTTATGCCTACAAAAATGATTGCAACTTGACAGTAATTACTCGTCAAGCACTTTAGACTGCTTCAAAAATTCAAGTTAACTTAATTTTTTTCTTTGTCCCTGAAGCTTGTTATTTCAGTATTTATCAACCGTATTTACACATTGTCTGTCTTGTGTGATTTGGACAAAGTTGCTTTGCGGCAGTTCAGCTAGATTTGATTTGTCAAATCTAAGGCCTTTCTGTTAGAACTCAATTCCAGCTCTTGTCAGTGTCTGATTCAACCGGCCTCCGCTCCAGTTTCTCCCACCCCATCTCTTCCACCTCTCCTAACATTGCTCAGGCACGTTGGTGAATGGTTCCATGGGCGCCATTTATCCCCAGGTGCCTTACTTAAGTAGTCAAATGTAATGTGAGTGTTTCAGAGTATAGATAGACTATTCGACTGTAAGGAGCACCAGAACGAAGACCAGTTCCTATCCTCACCTCACTTCCTCACATCGAGTGATCAGGAGTGGAACCCTAACTAATCTTGTTCCAGCTCTTCCACACCTCATATTGTGACTATCAATCTCTCCAGCTGTTCACTTCAGCTCATGGAGTCAGTGCACACACAGCCTTGGCGTTTATTCAACCATCATTCCTTAATCCAGTTCTTGACCAAGTCATATCGCTGTGCCTTTGTCACTTCCAAACTTGAACTTCCTAATGATCTCCGTGGGGCCTTCTCAGCTTGACCCTCCATAAACCGAGCTTATTCAGGACTCTGCAGCAATATTGTTCCCCACACCAGGCTTTGCTTATCACAACTGCGCTTGCCAGGCTCCACTGGCTTCCTATTCACTAGCAAATTAACTTCAATATCCTTGTTATGACTTTCGAATTGCTCATGCCTTTACACCACCCTAGCTCTGCGTTCTCCTGCAATTAGACTCCCCCATACTTCACTACCTTTAGCCTCTTGCATGTCACCTGCTCGTTCACCCATCACTGCCGACCGCGCTTTCAGCAACTGTGGCCCTGCTTTGGAACTCCCCAAATCCTTCTGGTATGCACCTTTCCCCTCTTTCAAATCCCTTCTGAAAACCTACTGGAACTGCACTTTTGGTCATCTCTTTCCTCACCCATTATCTTCTACCTCTGGTTTCCATTCTATCCCTGTGTTTGATGACGATATCCTATGTGAAAGGCACTATATAAGTGCAATTTATTGTTTCCCTACATTCTCCAGGTTTCCAGGATGCTACCAGGTGGAGTGGTAATTATTGGAGTCTTTCTCATCAGACCACCAAATATGACAAAGGAAGAGGCTCAGGACATTTTTCGGAAAGTGAGTACAAACCTTAGAGAGTTCCCTTTGTGTTCAGTAGACAGCAATATTGTGTTACGTATAGTGAAATGTTAGATAAAATGCAAGATCCACAATAGAAATTACCTAGGAAGCTTAATGTGCCATACAAAAGTTTTATTTTTGAACAGAATCAAAATATAATGGCATGAAGCTTGTGCAATCTTTTCATACCATTTAAAAGTTTGTTTCAGCTGAAAGTCCCTTGCTTCCTTCATGCATTTTCATTGCTTTCTGATTTTCTTGTGTAAAAAATTACTGCTAAAATACATCTTTCTAAACCATGCATAAATGGAGCATAATAGACTCCAGTGTCTTGACCAAAAGAAAATCTCCTGCATTGTACACCTACCTCTCCAGGGGTATGCGTAGCTTAGAATGGTTCTAGGATTGAATAAACAGATACAGACAATTTGTTCCACATTGCATGATGTAATCCTAATCAGCTTGCCAAATAGTGGAACTCACCCAAAAACTCACTGATATCCTGCAGACTCTCAGCTGACCTTGTGAACTAATAGCCTAATTTGTTGGTTAATATTTTTCTTTGAATAGTCAAAAGATGCAGTGTTTATTTTAACGTTATGGCTTCTTTTCCACTGCAGTTGGCAACTGGTGTAGAGAATTCCATTGTGAAGGAAAGAATTTGGAGTTTAATGGCAGAAGAGTCAACGGAACGAATAGTTCTCCAAATCTACGCTGATTCAAAAATGTATCTTTTAATCGAGAGGAGCAATACTTGGTACAAAATTGAGAGGAGTATTCTCCGCCGGCCTGAAATGTTAGGAGTATCGTGAAATGGTAATAGGGATTCGCTCTCATATGGTATGCTTTCCTTTCAAAATTAAGCCGTTTATAACACAAGTGGAGTCCTGTAGCTCAGTGGTTAGAGCACTTGCCTCGCAAACGAGGGACCTGGGTTCTATTTTCGGCATGGCAAAATGTTGCACAAGTTTCTTTACTCCACACCCCTCTGTTTAACTAGCAGTAAGTAACTTACCTAGCAGTAAGTAGGAACCCGATTGTTAGTCGATTGGCGGATCGCTTATCCGGGATAATAGATTGACATTGCTGTCACAATAAGATGGTTTGATGATTTTTGTTGCTCCTTTGAGTGTTAGAAACCCTTGAATTTATTTTTCCGTCGTTCTTTGCATTCCTTACTCGGGGAGGGGGCAAGAGAGGATATTAGATTTCACGTTCTCTCTGGCATTCTGAAAGAAAGGAGCATATTCAATTCAGAGCTATAGAACAAATGCTATGTGAAAGGATCGGATGCTTTTATGTTTGTTTTACTTCTCCAGGTATTTTCTGCTGATGGGAGAGAGAAAGTATTCAGGCATACTTTAGATCTGAGATGACAAATTGATCAGTGAGATGACTGATAATTCTCTCCTCAGTGAGAGCTGAATTAAAATATTGCCTAAGCTGTTCCTTTGGAGGAAACAACCTATTAAAAAATCTGAATTATAGATTAATTGTCTGCCTTTATCAAATGATAAATCAATAGGAAACCAGTGAAGATAAATAAATTATAATTTTGTAAAGTCTATTCTACTTTAACAAAAAAGGACTGAACTTTTCCTGAGTTCAATATTTACAGATTGAAATTACGAACCTATGATGTTCAAAACCCAGAGGTGAGAAGACATATAATAAGGCTTAAGATAAATTTTGCTTAGAACTGTCTGATGTTTTAATTTTGTTCTGTAACAGGTTTGTACCTTGGCTCTGGTGTGTGATGTAGAACGATCAAGACTTGAAATGTGAATCTCTACATTAATACGATTATTTGTGGGACACTGCTATGCGCAATTGGTTGCCCATAAAATGTACAGTCAATTCTCTTTACAGTATATTCTGTTATGCGCTTTGAGACATCTCAACGAAGTGATAAGGCGCTATAATCAAATGCAAGGATTATTATTAGCGGACCCACACCTACTGACTAAGTGTAAAAACATCAAAGTATAAAAGATTTTTTTATATGACAGATCGTTGTTTAATTCTTTATATAATGAAGTAACGTTCAAAGATTCCATTGTGTATTCTAGCATTGGGACTTTAATAAAAAGACAATATAATAATAAGATTTTAAAACAATGAGTGTGCTTGAACCTGTGATCTTGGAATAACAAATAATATATTAATAATAAATAGGAACTTTCTGGCTTAGTGTCAAACTACACAATTGTTAAGCGCTCCGTGGTGCTAACCCGGTGAAGGTTGCTATATAAATACAAGTTGTTGTTGCAGTAAATAAGTCAAATGTGGTAGGTGGTCAGAGAATTAAAGCATGCTTTTTCTAAACTAGATTTTGTTTCCTTGCATTTTTAAGTCTGCTATTAAGACTCTAGAGGTGAAACCGAGCCCCTTAACATCTACCTGGCCACAAGTGGAAGGTTCCCTCAGCGTAGATGTTCGCATCCCTCTACCAACTACCAACGTCAGTCACCTTGACAAGGATACAATGGTATGAGCAGGCTAAGTTGTGTTTTGTTCACATCTACTAGGGACATCAAAGGTTCTTCTGGGTTACAGGCCCCAGATCAGTGTGTATTGAAATGTGGCGATCACGACTTAACATGTAGGAGCAGGAGGAGGCCATTCGGCCCTTCGATCCTGCCCCGCCATTCAATCATGGCTGATCTTCTAATCTAACTCCAGCTGATAACCTGACCCTGCCTTATCCCCATATCCCTTAATCCCTGTTGCAATTAGAAACATATCTATCTCAGTCTTGAATATGTTCAAGGACTGAGTGTCAACAGCCTTTTGGGGTAGTGAGTTCCATACATTCACCACCCTTTGAGTGAAGAAGTTCTTCCTCAACTCAGTGCGAAAGGGCTGGCCTCTGATTTTAAGGTTGTGACCCCTGGTTTTAGTTTCTCCAACCAGGGGAAACAATCTCCCACTATCCACTCTATCAAGCCCTTTGGTGATCTTATAGGTTTATAAGATCCCCTCTAATTCTTCTATATTCTAGAGAATATAGGCCCAAATTAGTCAGCCTATCCTCGTAACTCAACCCCTTTATCCCTGGTACTAACCTAGTAAATCTACACTGCACCCCCTCCAAGGCAAGTACATCCTTCTTTAAATAAGGAGACCAAAACTTCAGGTCCCAGCATCTTGGGACTTCCTCCCGACGTGAAAGGCGCTCCATAAATCCAATCTTGTTGTTGTTGTTAGGTGGCTATCAAAAGCTTTTTTCTTTAATCATTTTTATGAAAGTTTAATTTTATTTTCTCACCTTGTATTGTGATCTTCCCATATATATGTTTTCTCTATTAATTTCAAGCATGTACACACAGGAAATGATTACTCCCCTGGGAAGTAATCTCTTATCTTTGTTTAAAAGACTGCCACACTTCTGAAAGCATTCCCGTACTGAACAGCTCAGGTGCAAAGACCCAAAGGCTTGCAACTTAATTTGATAATCTTGGAAAAAGCTGTCCTGGAACTATTTGGGACCAATAGCTACAACGTGGCAAAGCACTGATGTCTTCCAGGAAGGTTTTATTCCCTCTTGAAAGCCCACAGGGCCAAATTGAAGTGTGATGGCCTGCTGATTAGAGCAACACTTGAATCCTGTAGAGTGTGGTGTATTGTAGTTGCATGTTTCAGAATAGAACCTTGTGTTGTGTTTGTTCATATCCCTGCTGCATCTTTATCTGTCTGAACATTTTTACTTGGTGTATTCCTTTAGATGTAGTACAAAGTACCCTCTTTTTAAGATAATTGAGTTTTGTTTGTATTGAGATGAGAATACTGTGTGTGCATATTAAAAAAGGGACATTTTAAAAGCTAAAGACAAAATAAAGGATCTTGAACAAAATGGGCTGGATAGTTTAAATGCAATTGTATAATTAATATTTTACATTCTATGTTCATTTTGTTAACCTCCGCTAGAGTGGTCTGTCTACCTGGGCACAACAAATTCTTCACAGCTCTTATCTAGTAAATGGACGCTTGAGAGATCAAGATACTGAGCTAGTTGAAGGACAGGTATGAAGCTTTGGTTCGTTCCCTTCACAAAAAAAAGTTACTTATAAACTTTGGATTGAGTAATTATTCTGAACCACTCTGAAGTAAGTCTCTGTACCATTTCCCACCTCTACCACTTACCTGCATTGTTCGAGGTGCTAAACCGAGGTCTGTCCCATCTTTCTGTTCAGGTAATATTAAAGATCCCATGGTACAAGGGAAAGAGAAGGGAGTTTTGAATTGAATAAAAGATCCTCATTCTTTAACTTAATTTGCGGGAATTAATTCCTTTAATTGCCTCCACGCCATCCCTTTGTGACCTCCTGCAGCCTTACAAATCCAGCCACTCCCTTCATTCAGTGGCCTTCACTGGTTGCTTCATGTCCCCTACTCTTTCTGTCGCACTTTTGGTGAGTGAGCTTTCAGCCATCTTACCCCTGCTCTGTGGAATTCCATCCTGGACTCCCTGTGACTCACTCCCTCCCTTCCCACGTTCAATGCCCACCTCAACACTCACCTCTTTGCCTGAGTTTTCAGTCATCTTTGCCCTCCCCGTTATCGGATACCCAGCCAGGAGTGTGAGATGCCTTGAGATGTCCTCGATGTGAAAGGCACTATAAATCTCAATTGCAGTGTACAGAAATGTAGAAACATTGCACTAATTTTCAAGAAGTAACTTTCAACAAGTTATTTGTAGTTTACGTACTATGTTATTTAGTAGTTTATTAAAATGCATGTCAAATACTCTGTAATCCATACATTTGTCATTTCTTTTGGAGTCATGTGGAGTCCTATAGCTCAGTGGTTAGAGCACTCGCTTTGCAAGTGAGAGACCTGAGTTCAATTCCAGGCAGAGGGCGAAACCTTGGGCAAGTTTCCTTACTCCACACGCCTAATAATAATCCCTCCAAAAAAAACAATAATAAATTGGTCATTTTCAATCCACGACTGTGGGACATTGCTGTGCGCAATTGGCTGCTGCGTTTTCACACAAATATACAGTCAATTCACTTTACAGTATATTCTGTGAAGCGCTTTGGGACGTCTAGAAGACGTGAAAAGCGCTATATCAAATGCAAGGATTATTATTATTTGTGTATTACAATGCTTATCAAATCCATGTATTCTCTTTTTATTTGTACTGAATTTGTTTATTTTTCTGTTATTTCCACAGAAAAAGAAAACATCATTGAAAGTCCAGTTCCTGTTACCTCCTGTTAGCTATTTTACTGCTAATTTCTACAAGTCTCGTTCTTTCTTTCTTTAAAGTTAGATATTTTGAATGAAATGTGAAGTTATTTACATAAACGCATTGTATATATTTATAGCTATATTTAATTATTTTAAGTTTTCAAAGGCAACGATTTACACCAGCGTAGTCCAACTGGTGGCCCGCAGGCCGCAACCGGCCCAACAGGTGATTTTATCTGACCCAAGGCCATTTCCAACTTCCACTCCCTCCCTCCCTCCCTCGTGAACATTCTCCCATGGCAGCGGCAGGAGCTGGCGTTTGGGAAGACGTAGCGCTGAGAGCCAAAACAATGCCGGCCGCTACTGCAATCTGTCAGGAAGGCAATCGCGTCTCCTTATCCATCACGTCCTTAGCAACTGCGGGAGATGCATTGTCGGAGGTGCTGCCCTGCGAATGAGACGTTAAACTGCTTGTTCAGGTGGACGTTAAACATCCCTTGACCTGTTCGAAATCAGAAGAGAATTTCTCCCAGTGTCCTGGTCAACAATTCCCCAAAATAAAATTGGTCTGTTTGTGGAACATTGCTGTATGCACCTGGCTGCTGCATTTCGCCCACAAAATGCACAGTCATTTTACAGTATATCTTGTAAAGCACTTTGAGACATCTTGACGATGTGATAAGACGCTATATCAAATGCAAGAATTATTATTAATATTAGTTTACAACTGTGATGCTGTGCTTTACGTTCTAAACAACTGTTTTTGTTTAAAGGGCTTCAACCCTGCGAGTCAGACTACGGCTGTGATCCAAACTTGCGCAAGCTCAATCACTGTGAAGGGAGTTATACACTGCAGGGCTTATTTGCATGGTAGTAAAACAAAAGTAAAAGATGCCATTCTGGTACAGTATTTGCAGTCAACATAATTCATTCGTTTGTCAAGGCAAATATTAAGTCAATTGTTAAAATATAAATCCTTTTAAGCTCTTGTGTATTTTGAGCATGTTTATATGTGGAGACCTGTTACGTATTGGTTAGAGCACTCGCCTCACAAGCGAGCGGATCTGGGTTCGATTCTCAGGCAGGGCAAAACCTTAGGCAAGTTTCCTTACTCCATACATCTGTTTAACTGTTTGTGGGACACTGCTGTGCGCAATTGGCTGCCATGTTTCACCCACAAAATGTATAGTCAATTCACTTTACAGTATATTCTGTAAAGCGCTTTGATGCCTGAACAACATAAGGCGCTACATCAAATGCAAGGAATATTATTGTTATATATACCTTTAATTGACAAATACATGTCAGATGTAGGTGTGCTCTGCGGCACCATTTGAGATGTACTTGTCTCAGTTCTGGATGAATTGCTCCAAATGCCCTGAGTGTAATTCCTAAATGAACAGCAGTAAACCTTCTAATGTTTGTAAAACAATTTCAGAGCTTCTAAAAAAAAATTAACCTCGCCTATTTGATTTTGCTTACCAGGCATTAAAAAGAGATGCACTGAACACTGTGTCAGTGCGCTGTCAAATGGTCTTTGAGGATCAAATTATGAATAAGGGAGCACGTGCTGGTAAGCCACTGCCATACTTCACTGTATGCTTTTCCATTTTTTTTGGTGTTGGATGTTTAGGTTAGATTCTGGCCTGTTGCTCTTAGTTGCCGATCAGAGAGGAGAAATTCTCAATAATCAAGAGGAGTCCTTAAAAATTCTCAGTTCTTCCCCAAGTGTGTGACAGCGTGGCTCAGTTGGTATCACTCTTGAGTCAGGAGGTTCATATAATGCAGTCTGAATAACACAGTTTGGAGTGTGATGCATTGTTGGAAGTGCTGTCCTTTAGGAAAGATGTTAAATCAAAATCCTGTCTGTCTGTGCAGTTGGGTGTTAAAGATCCCGGGGCACTATTGGAAAAGAGAAGGGAGTTCTCGGTGTCTTGGCCGACAATCCCCCAAATAACATTGTTCTTTCACTTTCTGGCTGTTTGTGGGATATTGCTATAGGCAAATTGGTTTATCTATTGCCATCTGTGGGTGCAGCACTGAAGGACTACTTGTGATATTGTTCTCTATAGATATTTGTTTGGCGTTTAAATGAATTCCATAAAATCTATTGAAGTTGAAGGCTCAGCTGGTAAGAATGCATTAACTGAACAGCACCCCTACTATTGCCCCAGCTGACGTCAAATAACTCACCACAGACAAGTGATTCACATGTGACTTTCCTGAAATGTGTGGCTGGTTTCACACTTAAATATGTGTGCATTCTTACTTTCACACTTTGTCACTTCCCTGTATTTAGTCCTATATTCATATAGGAGTGCTCCCTTTGCATGTTCTCTGTCCTAAATGTTAAGTACAATGTTGAACCCACTCTTTATTTTTTATTTTTTTTTGTTGAGTGTATACTCCTATTCGGAACATGGAACAGGAGGAGGCCATTCAGCCCTTCGAGCCTGTTCCGACATTTAATTAGATCATGGCTGATCTGGACCTCAACTAATCCTTTCAATTCCAATTTCCCGCTTTCTCCCCATATTCCTGAATACCCTGACCTACAAAAAATCTATCAACCTCACTTTTGAAGGTGTGAAAGGATCCAGCATCCACGGCCTTTTGGGGGAGAGAATTCCAGATTTCTACCACCCTTTGAGTGAAAAAATGCTTCCTGATTTCACTCATAAATGGCCTGGTTCTAATTTTAAGACTATGCCCCCTTGTTTTGGATTCCCCCACCAGAGGAAATAGCTTCTCTGTATCTCTTACGTCATGCATCCTCTCCCTCTCGTCCACGCATGCTTTTTCCCATTATACATTCTCTGCTTAGTGGGGATTCACTGTCTCTTGTATGAGCATCATTCTCCTTAATAGTTTAGCTGTCTCCCTTCAATCCATCCTCCATTGTCTCTTTTTGTATTTGAGTATTCACACACTGTTTGCTGCATGGACTCACTTTCTGTTGCTTTGAACATGCAAAATGTCTCCTGCACATTATTGATACTCGCTTTCTCTGTCACTCACACTTTCTGTTCCTTGTATGTCTTGCTTTCTGCAAGCTGTCTGCAGGTTCAGTCTTGCATTACTGTGCACTACTTTGTGTATGGGCTCTCTTGTGTTTGATGGCTTAGCCCTTCATACACATTCATTCCCATGTGTATGCTTTCTTTCTCTCTCTTATGTGTACTGTCACCTGGACATCAATACCTTGGTCTTCCAATGAGATGTTAAATCGAGGTCCCGTCTGCCTGTTCAGGTTGTTCAGGAGGATTTTATAAATCATATTTCGAAGAAGAGCAGGGAGTTCTCTCAGTGCCTTGAACAATATTCCTCCATCATTTAAATTCACCAGATTAACTGCTACATTTGCCTAAGTAACAATAGTCACTACATTTCAAAATAACTCATTGGGACGCAATTTGGGATATTCCAATGTGATAAGGCACTATATCAAATGCAAGTATCATTACATTATTTTTGGTTTGGAGCAATTCAAAAGCAAAATTAATCATTGCTTGCCAAATTCGGGTTGCTGATGCATGCCTTAAATTATGGGAATGTGTTTTGCAGCAACTGTCCCGAGTATTGTCTACATGTGAAGGTATACCAATATTTCTAGTCAGAAACAAATTTTGTGCTCTATTCCTTCCTAGGAAGTGATGCAGCAGGCCTCAAAGCTCCACGTAGAGTGTTTGCCTCAATTTTGCCCTCTAATGTTGCCATGTGTGATTACATGTTTGATGATGAGGGCGATAAGGAGCTACAAGAACGCTTTAAGGAACTTCTAGACTTTGAGATACAATTGACACAAGTGGATAAAGCAGAAGAAATATTGTTGGGTAAGTATATACCCATAAACACATTAAGTCTTCCCCTCATTGGTACAAGATAGTTACCAATGGGCTTATGAACCTCAGTATGAGTAGTGCATGCATCCAATGATTACTGACAAGAACCTACTTGCAATGGAAGTTGGAATGTGTTGGCTAAAGTTGTCTGGATAAGAATACTATAAGGGGTCTAGGCCCTGGCTTGTGGAAATCTGTGTGTATTCCTCAGAAGCTATATGGTACTGAGAACCAGAGGACCCTATTAATCTTGAGAAGCTCTTATGAAGAAGCTGGAAGCTTTTAGAAGTCATGGCTAAATCTTGGATTTTATCCAGGATCTGTGTTCCAGCTATAAGATCTATGTCAGGGTCGATGAGAGATACACAAGGCCTATACCTCTGGAAAGAAGAGTGCGGTAAGGTTATCTACTGTCACCCACCCTGTTCAGATGGATGACATTGAGAGGAAGTGAATTTAGAGTGCCTATTCTAGGCATCTCTGATAGAATTGAAGTGTATCTGTTTGCAAGTAATATGTCGGCAGAGTCACCTGCGGATTTTATGCAATAGACTCATCATCTTGAAGGTGAGACATGGTGCTGAGTATGCTCCGTGTGGCATTATGGCTTTGCGTGGCTTGAGAGGTATTAATTGATAATTACAAGCAGCAACCGCCTCAATTGATTTCTATTGGAGCGTGGGGATTGTAGTAAACTCCACCTTTTGCTTTGCGCACTGTTCTTCGGTCCTCTGCTGAACGTGAGCAAAGGACGCTGGTGGATCTTGTCTCTCTTCAGTGATAGTAAAATCTCAGTGCAGGTTAAGTAACGTATGCCAAAATCAGAGCATACAACAGAATATATAGAAACTGGGTTATTTTCTGTGCAGAAGACACCCAAATCTACCTCTCTACTTCTACCCTTAATTCCAAGTCTGCTAGTTTTCTGACCACCTGCCTGTCAGACATCAAGTCCTGGATACGTTCTTCAGCTAAATGTGGACAAGAAGCATCCCTTCTCAATTCCTTCTGACAACTCCTTGCTTCTGGCTTTGACATCCTCCAATTTTCAGCCCTCTCTCCAGCTCACTGAAACAGTGAGCAACCTTGATATTCAGTCCGACCTTCAGCTCTCTTTCCTCTCTCACATCCAGTCCCTGGCCAAGACTGGCTTTCTTCACCACGATATGCCCGCTTCACTAATGCTGCACTAACTCCCATTCACACTTTCATCATCTCTACACTCAACTATTCAAATGCACTCCTCACCGCCTCCCCAGCTCCACCATTCACAACTCCAGCTCATCCAAACTCTGCTGTCCTCACCCTTACCTGCATGAAAAATTGCAGCTTCATGACTTCCATCCTCACCAGGCTCAATTGGCTCCCTGGCTCCCTGTCAGTAGATTGACGTAAAGATTCTCACTCTGACCTACAAATCCCTTCCGCCTCCCTATCTTTGTGATCTTGTCCAGACTAACTCTTCGGCTCATGCTCTCCACTAGGCAAACTGAGGCCTGCAGTGCATTACTCAACCCTCCATCCCACCAATGGCAGCTGAGCTTTCAGCCACTTTCAGTCCTGCACTCTAGAACTCCTTGCCTCAATCCCCCCTGTCTTATCCTTTATCTGTTATCAAAGCCACCAAACACCACTGACCTCCCCTACAGTTATCCCTCTCCTACCTCCTCTCCCTCCCACTCTGTGCCTGGCACTGTTTCTAATTCTCTCAGAACCATGGCTCTACATGAAGGGTACAATATAAACGCAAGTTATTGCAATGCATGAAATACGTTTTAGGTTTCAGATGTCAGCAGATTGTGTCCTGCTATTCCATGACCTAACTATTTAATGTCTTTTGTTTTGCTTCCCAATCGACGAATGTAGAAGAGCAAGAATCACTAACGAAGTCTTTGCAAGGTAAAGGCGCAGGCGAAGCTAAACCAGTGGGAGAATGTAGGTACATGGTTACACAGTAAGGAATTGTTTTCGCAGAGAATGTTGGATTTTGCGGTCGTGATTTTCTATTGGTCCAGCGTATTACCTAAAAGAACTGCAGGCACCACACAGATGCATCTGTTCTTCAGAACACGTCTGGTTGCATATTATTTATGAGCATTCCTCATTATTTTGAAATCCTCCTCCATATTCTATAAGATAAGCTCCATCCAGGTCCTGACGTTTGGGGATTTCAAAGTGACAAAGTGGAAAGCTTGCCAGAGAGCGATATCAATGGCAAGCTATGCGGTTTTAGTTCGTTAGATGCCAGCAGTTACCCCTACGCACACTCAGAGGTCTCTAAGCGTAAGCTCTTGCCAATCTGAGCTTAATACTTTACAGAATTAGGGAAGTAAAATGTGACCCTCCAGGGAGAGTGCACATTCCATTCCAACAATTTATCTCTGGAATTTTAAAATGTAGGTGGGATGCATGAAATTCTCAATGTGATTTGGATACTCTTAAGCACGGTGATCACAAAGAAAGTGACACTCACCCCCCCCCCCCCTTTAAGAAATTCCTGTGTCCCTATGTGACAGTCCCATGATTTGCTTTATGAAGTGAGTTTGCACTGTCTGCTTGGAGTTATTCGTTACCCCAATAGAAGGTTAACATCAGATGTGCTGTACCCTTAGCTTTTGTTGGAGGCATTTCTTTTCATTTGGTCCATCTCCTTCCAACAGAAGATTGTGAGTTCAAGGTCTACATTGTGACAATAACTCATATAGTCTAAACTGATAATCCAATGCAGTGCTGAGAATGTGTTGCATTGTCAGAGGTGCCATTATTCAGAGGAAATGTTAAACCGAGGTCCCATCTGCCTGTTCAGGTGTACGTTAATAATCCCATGGCATTATTCGAAAAGAGAAGGGAGTTTCTCCTGATGTCCTAGCCAGCAATCCCCCAAATTGGTCATTTGTTTCATGGCTGTTTCTGGGATATTGCTGGGCACAAATCGTCTGCTGCTTTTCACCCATAAAACACAGTCACTGCACTTTACAGTATATCCAGTAAATTCCTTTGAGACATCTTCCCGACGTGAAAGGCGCTATTACCAAATGTAACGATATTATTTTATCATTATATTCCAATCCTGGCACAGATATAGTACCCAAAGAGATGTACAATTAATGAGGTTTGTGTAGGGGATAAAACTAACTTTGGCTAATTTGAATTTTTTTTTGCCTAAAGGAGTGGAATATACACCGAAAGCCAGGCTCCCAGAGGCTGCTGGTCAGTTTAATTACAAGGGTAGGTTTCTGCAGAATGTCCAGAATGCATGATTAATCAAGCCGAGGTTGGTGATGCAGAATCCCACTTATACATTGGTATGATTCAGTTGTTTTTGAACCTCTCAATCAAATTGTTGCTCATCCCCGGATATCTTATTCTCCTGATGTTTAAAGTTATTCAAGACCATAATATAAATACAGCCTTCCACATATGCTTCTCCACCTGACCCTTACGTTATTACCCATGAAAATCTGTAGGTGCTATACTGTGTTAATCGCTAAAATGTGCTGTGTGCCTCCACTCTCTGGAGCTCCATCCTTGAGACCCTTTGCCTTGCCCCATTCCTTGCCTCCTTCAAGGTCAATCTGAAAACCTTCCTCTCTGACCACACCTTCAGTCATCTCTCCACCCTCCCCCCCCCAAATCTAATCCACCAGTGCCTTGGGTTGTCCTCCCGACGTGAAAGGTACTATATAAACGCAATTTGTTGTTGTATTTTAGGTGTGGTGATTGCAGTAGGAGTTGGCGTACTTGCAATAGCAGTCTCCTTGATTTATTTTGGCAACTTTGTTGGGGTAAGAGTAAGATCTATAAAGTGAAAATGGATTGAAGAAACAAGCGTATGTTATAGACAATCTCTTTCTTTATATGTATCATGTGGTTTACATAGTTTTATGATCTATATTTTGATATGTTTTCCGGGGCTATGAGTATAGAAGATAGCTGCTTCTTTGATTTATAGATCTATGATTTCCTTCCTTGGTTCAATGTCTCATCCTTCAGATGAGACATTAAATTGAGGTCTTGTTTGCCTGTTCAGGTGGATATTGAAGATCCCGTGGCCTTTTCGAAACGAGAGGGAGTTTCTCCCGGTATCCTGGCTGACAATCTCTCAGATAAAAAAAACTGGCAGTATTTTATTTCTATGAGTCAGTTCCACACTTATTACTTCTCTGTATAAGGTCTCTGAACTTTTTTTTAAAACAAAGAACTGAGTAGGACCAAACAAATTAGTTGTTGCCTGTGTAGTACTGTGCAGGTGATGTAAACTACCTGTAAACAGTTGTGTTGCACTGAGCTTCAAAATCCATTCTTTGGGACCTTTGTTTACTGGGAGGCCATACTGAATTGGTCACTCAGGTTTTATTCTAGTCAATCTGGTTTTATTCTTGTCACCGACCAGTTTGAAAGCATTCTCACATGTTGAGGTTTTCCAAGTGGACATTGAAGACGGAGACACCTATTTCAGAGAAGGTGTCGATCTCCCAGTGTCTTGACCAGTGTTCCTCTCCCCCACCCAAATGTTTCCAATAAACAGATTAATGGCCGTGCTTTCAGTCATTACGCCATGAAACTCTGGAACAGTTTCCCTCAATCCCTCCACCTTGCCTCTTCCTTCCCATCTTCAGATTGTGCCTGAAGACCTTCCTCTTCAACTGTGTTTACGAGCACCTCCCTCCGGCTCGGCGTCGTGCTCAGCCACTGTCGAGGGCTCTGGGACACTACCCTGCATGAGATGTGCTATATAAATTCAAGTGTTTTGTTGTAATGCTCCCTTTGGGACATTGCTGAGACAGATTAATAGCCACTTTTGCTTACATAACAGTCACTATGCTCCAAAGTAATTTACTATGTTATATTGTGGTGTGTTGAAGCATGATTGAAATGCCAGTGTTATGTTCAGGGCGGAAACACTAGAATTATCTTAATGTTTGAGATGTTTGCAGTTAATTTTAATGGAGCACTTTAACCAATCTCCTTATTTTTTTGCAGCCTTGAGCAGTGATACACAGCCATCCCACTCTGATTTCAAGGAATGCATAATATCCAGTTCCAGTTTGTTTGCTTGAACCTGTATTCTCAATTTTCATTGAATAAAACCATTACACACAGAAAGACAATAGATTTTTGCTGCAATTTGTAGTATTATTATGACCAGGAAAAATTTATGACTTTCACCTAATATAGTCAGTCACTCTACATTAAAGCGCTCTGATACGTCCTCCCAACATGAAAGGCACTGTATCAAATGCAATAATGTGAGAGAATTCAGGATTGTAATAACACGAGATCTGGTTCATTATGTCTCAGCCTTATCTGCCCACCACAATCAGTTGTTGGGCTCTCAGCATTTTGCCACCCGCTCTCTGGAACACCATCCCTCACTCATTCACGGCACGTCTCGAGACTTGCCTCTCTTCGGGTCGTGTTTCCTCTCCCTAAGCCCATCAGCTCCCACTCCCAGCTTGGGTGCTCAGACAATAGTGTTAAGCACTTTCAAATGTCCTGACATTAAAGGCCATATGTAAATGTCATTGTATTGCATTTGGTCGCTCAATCCACAATTGTTTGTTGGACACTGCTGTGCGCAATTCGCTGCCACGTTTACCCGACATAATATACAGTATATTCTGTGAAGCGCTTTGAGACATCTTGAAGATGCTATATCAAATGCAAGGTTTATATTGCTCGATTCAGTGGTTTCAAGTTTGGGTTTCAAAATAAGAAAAAAATTGCAATATTTGAAAGTGGCCACAGAGCAGCGCCAAAGAGCTGCAAAAATATTTTTGTGTGAATTCAATTGCTTCATGTGCTACAAAGGCTTGAATCGAGAAAATTGGCTTCAGAGGTGCTTTTAGATTGTGTGTCTGTCAAGTATGAATCATTCAGGTTCTTGGCTAGTAGATAGACCATTTGGGCTGGGAAGTGAGGGAGACAAATGCTGAAGTAATAACTTGCGAGCAGTAGCAGACGCAAGGAGCTCGGCATTCAACCTAGTCTAAACTTGTCTTATAAGATTCTGTCTTATAAGTTGAGATCACTCGTAGAGTTGTGGAAAACCTAAATTAAGCAGGTTTTCCACAGCTCTTAGAAAGAGACCAGTTTCCAAATTCAGACTGATTTAAGGATTTTCCACAACAATTCTGCGCAATCTTAAAACTTAAGACAAAGTGGTCTTGTGGGTTAAAACAAGCTGGGATGTCGAGTGGCACACTTTACACAGCATCCTAGTAATAGTTGTTTGAATGAATATTGAGCTTTGGAAACCTGTACAACAGGAAAAGGCAAGTGCTTATGAAATTACTAAGTTTTCCTCTTGTCAGCCCTGGGGCTGTGTTTCAGGCTGATTTAGAAACTGCGAGGCATTTTAACTCTTCAGTCAAACTTTTGCTCTGTTTGTTAAATATGCAGAAGGGCGAATTGCAATGTTACTCTTTGCTGGTACTGTATGTAGTGCTGGTAACCGCAGATCCAGTCATAACCGCCTTTGGCTGGACATTAGACACTCCTTATCAGCCATGAGTTTTGTTGCAGTAAAAAAGTCACGAAAATATTGGGTTGATGGCTCATTGTTTTGACTTTATTTCATTTCCGTTTACGGTCAGGGGCTCTTGAAGCTCCCAAAAAAACATCAAATATATCAATCACAAAGACTCCTCCGCACACACACATATCAAAGCAAATAGTTTCAGAATAATGCAGCAAACTGACCAGCATTAATGATAAAAAAATGATACGGCCACAGAAGGTTTTAGATAGATATATCACACTTCCAGTCACTGAGGGCGGGGAGTCATCCTGTTCACCCTGCAAACCAAGTCCTAATGGGTAGGGTGGTCCCAGCTGGACAAGCAGCGGTAAAGCTTGCCAGACAGTGCCATCAATGGCAAGCTGTGCAGTTTTAGCTGGTTAGACTCCAGCAGTTATCCCAAACCACACTGGAGTCCCCAAACCTTGGATCTTGCCAACCTGGGCCAAATTTTTTCCGAAATTAGGTAAGGAGGATGCATCCCTCCAGGGAGAGGGTGCGTATTCCATTCCAACATTAAATTTATCTCTGAAATTTGGAATTTCCATGTGTAGGTGAGATGCACCGAATTCTCAGTTTGGTTGGGATACTCTTAAGCCTGGTGATCGGTTTCCCCATGTGTCCGACACTCGGCTGACCACCAAAAAAGACATTAGTATAGATCTGAAAGGATTCATATTTCATCTTTTGTTTCAATTTGAGTGAGAATGGACCTGTTAAAAAGCAGCTAGCCCCAAGAGAGGATTGTCTGGAAATTATACAATACCCAAAGTAGGGATTGACTATTGTCCCCGAATCATTTGACTTTGGTTTCATTTTGTTTCGGCTAAAACACAGATATTGAAAGCATGTTCTGTTAAGCCACACCTACCTCAGAAAAGCATTAAAGTTAAAATAAATAATTTCAAATCCATCACACACGCACCGGATACACAATTCTGTAAAAGTGACATAACACGGACTATATTTCTGCGACGCTAACAGATTTGCTCAGAAAGAAATAAAAACGTAGACTGCACTGAAAGAAATTCAGTGACAAGTACTATGAACCCACTTAAGATCAACTCCGAGTCCTCTGTATTTTTTTAAGTGTTCGAACTTGCCATTCGCTTATTGAATTGAACTATGTTACATAGATTCCTTTGAATGTTTTGGTTCTCTTATGCTGGTCCTTACAGCTGTATCTGTGCTGGTATCATTTGGGACAGTTTACCCATTCTGTGTGCTCTGCAGTGTACAGTAATACATCCACAATAACTTGCTTTTTTTATAGCCCCCTGCACATGGGGTAGTGTCTCGGAGCCCATCTGGCAAAAGTGTGTGGGAGTATTCCCGTTAAGTATAAAGTCACCTGCCTGCTTCATAAGAATTGTTGGATGAAAGAAAACCAAGGTCCATCCAGTTCGCCTTCCACCATCCTGGTGGTCGCATGCACATGACATGTCCCAAACGATATCCCAAAATATTAATAAGAACATAAGATCTCTGCTGCAGTTTCAATCGCATGAGATGTGTCTACTGTAGTTGCCTTTGAAAAATGCAAACATTTTACTTTAGGGGATTGTTGCTATACAAACTATTTTTGTGTTAGTTGAAACAACAGCTTGCAATCAAACGCTATCCAAGATTACTCTGTCGCCCGCCCCCTCTCCTCTGTACACCCCACCCCCCTCCCTCTCGCCCCAGGAAACTGGAGTTGATCTGAGTTAGACTCCTCTGCACTCGCCCCTCACTCAATGTCCACATCGCTCCCCTCGCTGCCGCTCTTGTACGCAGAGAACTCCTTTTCCGGCAAAAGGCCGTACTCGTTTAGGAAGGATTCGACGTCCACGGCGAAGAACTCCTGGCTCAGCTTCTCCGTGATGTGAATGAAGTTTCCGATCAGCTCACCCGCCTTGTACACCAGTAAGGTGGGAAGGATACTGTCAGAAAAGCGCTCCCTAGCACCAGTGGCGCTGGCCTTGATTTTACAGAACTTGACCAGCGGGTACTCCAGAGCCAGGCACGTCAAGCTATTGTTCAGGGAGTCGCAGCCATCCACGCTGTCCTCGTAGATGTGGACCACCACCGTGGTCTGCTTCATCTCCTTCTCAATCACCTCCAGGAACTGCTCTCCACTCTCCAGGTCATAAACCATCCCGAACTGTGGCCCGAAGCTCAGGCTCTGGTGCATCTCCTGCATGCATTGCCTACGGTACTTACGCAGGCAGGTCTCATCCTCTTTGTCTTGAATCAGTTCGTACTCTTGCACACTCATCTTTTTTTTCAAAGGGAGAGGGAAGGAGGGAGAGACAGAAAGAGAGAGAAGGGAAGGGATATGTGGATGGGTGGTTTGGAAGAATAAGCCGGTTGAGAGCTTGCATTTAGCACAGAAATAATTTATAATCTTTGCATTTGAAACACTTTACCGTATATTCTGTGAAGCGCTTTGAGATGGCTCAACGACGTGATAAGGCGCGATATCAAATACAAGAATTATTATTCGGGTCGTGTGGTCATGATGCGTCAAAGTGCTTTGTGGGTCATTTGTGCTAAGTGTAGACTCTGCTTATTTGGAAGCAAAATAATAACCTGTAACTAATCTGAGGGAGATGGCTTGTCAACCACGATTACCAGGGGTGAAGTTGTTAGAGGTCCCAGAGTGTATCTCTTCCCTGAACCTTCTGCAAGGTCAAAACAACTGCACACTGGACTCATCAGCTTGACGCTGGGATGCAAAGCAGTAGGAGTGGTATTGTGGGCAGTCGAGATCAAACATCTCTTTGTAATCGTAACTATTAATGCTGGTGTCCTCCCATCACAGCATTTGGATACTCTTAAGCATGGTGTTGGATTTCCACATGTGACCCAAAAAAACAAGTTTTTTTTTTAAATGACTGCAACTTAAGCCCTCTATCCACTTGAGTGTAACATACCTTCCTGGTAAACTTCTCCCGCGTATCTTTGTCATCTTTGTTGACGGTGCGGTGAGGAGATGAGATTTGCCTGAGGAGCTCTCTTTTACTGGGAGGAGCAGTTTCAAAATCCTCACTCTCCAGCTTAAACTTTCTCCAGTCATTGATCACCCCTTTTGGACCTGGAAAAAAGACAGACAGGTTGTCATCCAGGACGTCTGCGATCTCTCGTGTATTGATAACCACTTGATATTGGATGTGGGAGGGTCATCCCTCCTCTTCCCTATTTCCCACCGTTTTCCTTTGAATTCATGTATCATTCACATTTCCTAACCGAGAGCATTGGGCGATGACCTGGTCATGGTTCTCTCCCTGGGTCACTGTAATGAGGAGACGAGAGGTAGGCCAGGGTGGCCTGACGGACTCCCAGTGGCACTTTCGTCCCTCCTGTGTGTGTGTGTCTGTGTTGGGGAAGCCACTTGTTCCTGTTACATTGTGGAGTCCTACAGCTCAGTGGTTAGAGCACTAGGGTTGCAATTGAGAGGACCTGGGTTTGATTCCTGGGCAGGGCGAAATGTTGGGCAAATTTCCTTACTCCACACACCTCTGTTTACCTAGCAGTAAGTAGGAATCTGGTCGATTGGCAGATGCTTTTCCGGGGGTAATAATCCCTTCAAAAATAAGTAAATAAATAATAATTTGGTCAATCAATCCACGACTGTTTGTGGTACACTGCTGTGCACAATTGACTACTGCGTTTCACCCACAAAATATAGTCAATTCACTTTACAGTTCGTTCTCTGAAGCGCTTTGAGACGTCTCGAAGATGTGATAAAGTGCCATATCAAACGCAAGATTATTCGTATTATTATCTGAAACAAAGTCCTGCTTCTCTGCGTTGTGGCTAAGATCAAGTGTATCCTCCTGCGGGGTAAGAGGGGTCTCCTTAGAGCTGAACTGGCTCCTGGTGACATGTTTGACAACAGAATGTCAGAATCGAGCCAACCCTCTGTTGCGGTCTCAGTTACAATAGTCAGCCTCTCTGTCCCCTGGTAGGTAGGTTGGCAGTAGCTTTATTAACTGGAGCTTTGATCATTTTGCTGGACTTTTGTCTGAGAAGCTGATCTAAGATGTTGCCTTACCTAAACCATTTTTGCTAAATGTTTATACAGGGAAGGTGGGTGGGAGGTGGAGGGGAAAAGAAAAAAAAAGTTCCTTCTCCCAATTCCTTTGCTCTTTACCCATCTCGCAAATGATGGACCTTCCTAACGCAAATTGGAGCCACCTGCTAATGGCTTGTTAGTTACACCAACACCTGGTGGGAATCAGCGCGTGGTGTTGCCTCCATTACCTGTGTTGGTAGCCGGTAGATCAGACTCCACATCGTCATCACAGCTGTGTCTGGTGTTCATGTTTGACAGCTGTGCAACAAAAAGTATCTGTAAGGAGGAAAATCGAACAGGGGGAGAGAAGGTAAACAACAGAGTTGCCTTGATGGGTTATTAACAACCTGCAGTGTTACAAAGGGTGACATTGTAGCAGCTTATCAATCAATTAATGTGTTTCCTCTTTGCAGTGTGAACGCTAATGGATCTAATTCAATAATACGATAATCGAATATAAGTTAATTCTGGGCAGTGTAGGTTCAGTGGTGGGGCAGGCATCCTTGATGTCAGTGCAGAATAGCGTACGCAGGGCAGTTTCATGAGCACATCATAATCGGGTGGATTATGACACAAAACTGTAGTGGAATTGAAAGCCTATTATGTATGCAGGTGAGATCGTCATTCAGCAAGGCAGTCAGGTACCTAATTCTATTGCTGTTGTTTTGAAGGACCAAATTACAACTCCAGGGAAGAGCGTCCCATGTTTTGTGGGACGGGATCGGTGGCAAGTAGTCGGGAAAAGTACTTGTTGATTCAGTTCATCACATCCCAATAATAATCCATATAAGAGGAGAAATTTGCCATGTACTGTCAGTGTGTTGTGTCCAGCACTGACGTGTGTAATCAGCCCAGCTCTATTTCTGGTTTACCAAATTTAAATTACATGGTGCTTTACGATGCAACTTTCAAATGTTTTAGTTGCAAAGCATCTCACTGAGTGGTCACACTATCTCGCTCTGTGTGGAGACTCCTGCATTTGCATGTTAGTGACCTGACATTGTTTTTTTTGGCCAGCTAGGTGAACAGGAGCTGAATAGGAGGATTCCCTGCCCCTAATGACTGGTCTGCCCTTCGAAGTCCTGCCGATGAGCCAGGCTGTGTTGTGCTGTCATCAGCAGTGCCTGACAATGTGTGCCAGGGTGTGATAGGAGATGGGTTCCGTGTCAGGTCAAGTGATAGTAGAATGTAATGTTAGAGTAAATGGGTTGTGCGCCAGATTAATGCAGTCAGTGGGATCTACCCTGGGATTTTCCTAGATGGTGGGTGCCTTATTTCTGATGATGGGCTAGACTGGTGGCAGGGGGCAGGAAGGGAAGACAACCTTCAAAGATTTACAAAGAATAAACAGCATGAAAACAGGCCACTCAGCCCAACCAGTCCATGCTGATGTTTATACTTCACACAAGTCAAACCTGATTTAGCAAGAGAAGTTGATTCAAATGGATGCCCATCAGAACTGCCACTTCTTTTTTGGAACACAAGGAGGGCTATTAATAGTTGATGACCAGTGATGATTATCACATCACACCCTGTAAATGTTTCCATCTCCATTTGAGTTTGTAATCTTGGTGTTGGGGTTAAAAATCTGACAGCTCCTTCAATCACAACTGGACATCGAATTGTAGACACAGATCTGGAATGGGATTGATGTTGATTTGTTCTTATTGAGGGATTCATTCTCTCACTCCCTGTCCACCACCACCCTTACCCATCTCAGTACATCTCCTGTTCATTGTCGTCGTTTCCAAGTGCCACCCCTTTCCTATTACCCCATGAATCCATGTCTCCTGCCAGGTATAAAATAAACAAGTCTCTGTGGTTGCCAGTTTCCAGGCAACAGAAAGGCAAATAGAGCTGGAAACATTCCTGTATTTTTAATGCTGGTTCAAAACAAGTTCAGCGTTATCACTCCTGTTTGGCAAAAAGACTCATGTTTACAATCGGGTTAGATTTCGTGTCTGCATGGCTTCAGCTCACGTGGTCGGTTGGTACCACAGGTTAGAGATAGAGAGCAAGAAACAATGGCATGAGGTGCTCCTGAACCCCTTTAAGCTGCCAGCAGTGCTGGTAGCCTCAAAAACTGAGCACCACCTCTCACCTAGGCCTGCTAAGATCCTCATACATGCCTTCAGCCCCACATAGCCCAGGGACACAGAGGCTAACATTGCCCTTTGAGATCATCTCACTCAGGCTTTTACTTAAACTGATCCTTCCTTCCATATTGTACGATATTCATTTTTTTAAAACTAAAAATACTCAGCTCACCAACACCCCCCCCCCACCCACCCAATAAACATGATGGATTTCAGAGGGAAAGTTTTCTAAGTCACCGAGTGAGGGCACATACAGGTAAAAGGATTACTTTGATTCAGCCACAGTGAGGACTTTAGTGAGGACACATATGTAAGTGTTTCAAACTTGCCGGTAATCCTCGCGGAGTGATCTTCTGATCAGAGGGGATAAAGTGAAGTGTTGTAAGATAGCTAGCATTGACTGACGTATGTACCTGTCAGATGTGTTGGAGTCTATGTAGGTTGATGGGGCATTAATAGATTAGCAGCAAATCCAATTTATTTCTACTATCTAGAAAGAAAGCCCAAGCTTAGATGACACCAGATCCAATGAAGCTAATCCCGGTCACAGTTTACAGGGGGAAAAAAAATGTGTATTTTTGATGTGAAAAGGCTCTATACCCAATATAAGAATTATTATTATTACTACAATGGTTTGGGTCCATAAACATAGTCCTCACATTTCAATCACCCTCCCACCTCTCTGCCTTCCCTCACCCCTACACTACCCCTCCCCCATGCTCGGGTCCCGCCCCCTGACTGTTCAGCGCTTTGGGACATCCTCCCGATGTGAACGGCGCTCTATATATCTAATTTTGTTGTTGTTGTATAACCAGCTTCCAAAGGTGGATGTGTACTCCCTCCTAACCCCCGTAGCTGGATTTACAATAAGCTAGTGCATGTTATAACAAGGTTCGCTTGTATTAATGTTCGATGTGAACCAGGAACACATTGATGCTCCTGTTTTATGACACTTTTATCTTAGTGATGGGCTTGGGGGCTACACCATTCATGTCTGAGATCAGGGAGTTCTGGCCTGTGTCCGTCCAACTGCTGTGTTAAATCCAACGGAGGCAGACACCTGCTATGAGAGTAGGGCTGCAGTTTCTTTTGAGGAGCAAAACTCTCACACAGAAGCAGTGGTGAGTGCAAATGCAATGAATGATTGACTCACAAAAGCCACTGCTCATTTGGAAAAACAGTCCAAAAATGGGTGGCTTAGTCCCAGGTTCTGTGTTGGAGCAAAGATAAAAGTATAAAGTGTGCGCTGGTGGTAGCCTGATTAAAGGAGCTATTAATAACCCATCACCACACAGTGAGAGCTTGTGTTAACATCTTGTGTGGTTTAAGGGTGATGTGCCACTTACTTAGGCAAAAATGCTATACTTGTGCCTCAGATTGTAGCCAGTTTCACTGAGAGAATTTTGACTTCTCTGTGTTATGCAGGGTCTTCCATTTATAATATTAATAATCATAATCCTTGCATTTGATATAGTGCCTTATCACATCATCAAGATGCTTATTCTTAAGAATTTACCGAAAACCGTCCTGAAAATACATTTCCAAAACTGGGATTATTTGCAGCCTCTCGAATTACTGCAACCAAATCTCAATCTCTTCGATAAATTGATAGCCATCAGTTGCGATTTTCCTTAAACAAGGTACTGCCTAGGAAGAGTACTGCAGAACATTGGAGACACAACCAAAATTCTTCATTCTTCTCATTTCCCTCCCCACATCACCCCCCATTAAAGGGAGGTGGCTGATGTCCTGGCCAACAATCCCCAAATAAAATTGGTCACTCCCTCCACTGGCTGTTTTGGGGACATTTCTGTATGTAAATTGGCTACTGCATTTGCCCACAAAATACATAGTAAATCCACTTTATCCTGTGAAGCACTTTGAGAAGTCCCAACGTAAGGATTAATATAATTATTATTGCTTTACAGTACATCCCGTGAAGCTGTTTGAAAAGTCTTAACAATGCCATAAGGAGCAATATCAAATGTAAGAATTATTATTATTATAAACTCCCTTCTTGAATAGTGCCAAGGGATCTTAAACGTCCACTAAACAGGGAGACGCGACCTCAGTTTAACGGCCCATCTGAAGCACATAATGTCCTTGTGATATTGAGGAGCAGGAATAGTAGGTTGGTCCATTCTTACCAGTATTCCTCTATAAATGTACCACTCAGTACAGCATTGATCCATCAAGTATGTACATTGCTGTGTGCAATTGGCTGCCGTGTTTTGCCCACAAATATACAGTCAATTCACTTTACAGTATATTCTGTGAAGCGCTTTGAGACGTCTAGAAGACGTGAAAAGTGCTATATCAAATGCAAGGATTGTTTTTATTATTATTATACACATGAGGATGTTTGTGGAGTCCCATAGCATAGTGGTTAGCGAGCCCGCCTCGCAAGCGAGAGAACCTGGGTTCGATTTGCTGCAGGGCAATACTATAGGCAAGTTTCCTTATTGCACGCATCTGTTTACCCTAAATAAATAATAATAATAATAATTTGGCCACTTAATCCACAGTTTGGGTGACACTGCTGTGCACAATTGGCTGCCACATTTCGCCTACAAAATACAGTCAATCCACTTTACAATATATTCTGTGAAGTACCACAGAGTGTGATGAAAGTTAACAAGCCTTCCAAAGCTGCACGGGAGGGAACCTGATAGTTTTACTTTCCAATCGTTTTTTTACTACTTTAAAAAAATAGTCTTGAGGGCTTTTCAGAAGAAATACAGAGCTAAGGTAGAGCTCACCATTTAACCCTGCTTTCAGATACTCCTACCTGTAAAATTCTCAGGACTCCTATGTGGTAGAATTGCCTTGCCGAAACCTTTTTTGATTCAACCCCACAGTCTCCTTTCTGAATACCGGCATGAAAAAACGATGCGAGAAGTTGATGAACTTCAGGATGATACAAAACCCTTGCACGAATTTAACATCTGGGATCAAAAACCTTCCTTGCCTCAGTGGTTAAACCTCTCTCTGGATTGGATTATTAACAGGGTCACTGCTATTTCAAGTAATAGTAATCCTTGTGTTTGACATAGCACGAACAGAACCAGAACCACCTCCCCATCCAGTCTGTAGCAAAACTATCTTATCATTGAGACCTCCAGACATTTTTTCAACATGGCACATAGGTGGGTTCTTCGGAGGCTCCTGCAGCTTTCACTGTGTGTCAGGGTGAGGTGTGCATTGTTTTCCTAATGTATGTCTTGTGCTATGTAACTCAAAGCACATTACACTTAAGGTCATTCACTTCTGGGCTGTTTGTGGGGCATTGCTGTATGCAAATTGGCTGCCACATTTACCCACAAAACACACCAAGTCATCACATTTCAGTATAAGAATAATAACCCTTGCATTTGATATAGCGCCTTATCGTGTCATTAGATGTCTCAAAGCTCTTCACAGAATATATTGTAAAATGGAGTGACTATATTTTGTGGGTGAAACGCACAAAGTATACAGTCACTTTGTGGAGTGCTTTGGAATGTCCTCCTGACCTGAACTGTACCAAATGTGAGGATTATTATAATAATGATAATAATAATAATATAATCCTTGGATTTTATCTTATTATTTATTATTATGCAATGACACTGAGTTTACCTATTTTGGTTAGAAACATGCAGAAAATATATTTTGCAATGTGATCTTCACTCTCAGAGAGCAGTGGAATTCTAACTCAGAATAATGATTAAGAAAAACGGTAAACCTCAATATTGTGTGACAAGGACATTTTACTACAAATTAAGTAAAATGGCATTCGGCCAGTTGCTCAGAGTGACCCCGAAGAACTTTCTCCCTTTAATGACCCAAGGTTCAGTAGTGCTAGAGAAAACAGCTACAAGGCTTGTGTAACAGTGCCTTGGTGATATAGATCATGATAATGTGTGGGAGACACCCCCCCCGTAAAATCAGGACCACACATGTTCCCAGTCTGTACAGGTTCAGTGCTCGAGAGCACAAACAGAACTAGAACAGGCCATTACTATCTCTCCAGCCAGTCTGTAGCAACACCATCTTACAAAAATTGCAGCCTCTCCTCTCCAACTTTAACATACATATGCATTGCCTCAATTATCTTTCATTTATAAATACGTCTTTTGCTCACATTTGTAATTGAGCAACCGATGTGCATTATTACTCAGGCAGCAATCATCGCCTCTTGTTTTACCATCTTCTGGAACACCATTCCACGGTCCCTTCACACCCCCTCCCTTACCGCCTTCAAGGCCTGTCTCACGACCCTCCTCTTCGACCACAACTTAGGTCACCACACTACCCCTACACTCCCTGCCTCCACCCCTCCTGCTCCCAGCCCCGAAGTCAGGTTCCAATTCCTTGATTGTCCAGCACTTTGGGACATCCTCCTGACATGAAAGGTTCTTATACAAATGTAATTTGTTGTTGTTTACCTAATACACAAGGTGACAAATCGGTTTAGTGATTCGAGAAATGATAGTCCAATTCCACTGCTGATCAGTGTTCCAATCCTCGTGTCAGACAATCCCTTGACAATAGGCATAAGAGCGCTAAACATACAGGATACAAAGGAACCCAACAGTGAGGAGCTGTAAATTGCTTACCTGCTGTGAATAGCTCCAATGTTTATGCTTTGTGACAGTGCCCTTGAAGGTATCAGACAGTGAGGATTCAACCACAGGATTGCTGGTCCGTGCAGACTTTGCCTGAGATTTGCATTTCCAGATCAGGTTGATGTTCCCTGAAATAGGGATAAGAAGATTGGGCTGGGAGATTTAGAAGCTAGGATTCATTAGCCTACTCCAATCGCACGACAGTAGCACAGCCATTCGCCAAGATTTTAACCCTTAGATTATTGGAAAGACTTGCAATCCAATTGAAGAGGGCAAGGCCATTTGCAATACGTGAACCAATAAGGACGAGAATATTGAGAAAACTGGGAATAGCTCAAGTATTTTACTAACCACTGACAGTCCTTTCTAAATGGTGCTCTCTAATAATAATATAATAATCTTTGCATTTGACATCACATTGTCGAGAGCTCTCGAAGCACTTCATAGAATTTTACTGCAAAGTGTAGTGAGTGACTGTATATCTGTAGGTAAATGCAGCAGCCAATCTACAGACAGCAATGTCCCACAAGCAGCTATATGTTAGAATATGGTAAAATGTCTGTGGCACGCATAGGGTTAAGTGTAGTAATGGCAGAAAACATCACATGCTGTAAGCTATTCTCTGTGGCCTTGTAGATGAGCAGGAAGTTACGCAGGATGGAGCAGAACTCCCTCAAATCCTTTAATTAAAAGTCCAATGTATAAGGACACTGCTGACAACATTGCTCGGAAACATATGCTATCTTACAGTATAGTTTTAGTAAAAACAACTCCATATTAGACGTCTCCAGCTGACAACGTGGGCATCCACCCGGTAGTATTGTTCTGTCTTTGCTTAAGCGTAATATAATAAAGTGTATGTGATGTAACCTACACCTCTGCCTATTGGTTTTTACTGAATCTGAACCTTTGAAGGGAAGCTGCAAATTCCCGACATAGGAAGTGAGTAAAAAAATTTATTTAGGGGATAGTTCACCAGGATACCAGGACACACTCCCTTCTCTTTTCCAATAAGTATGTTTTTACGTCATCTTGCAGATCTAGGCTGGAATTTGCATTTTTTAATGAATCCAAATTCCGAATCAGAAGGATGTTGGTTGGAGCCTCACGTCGGGACATTGAGACTCATAATCTGGGCTGACCCTTCTATGCGATACTGGAGGTGCACTATGTTATTGGAGGTGCTGACCTTGATGAAGCAATAAACCAGGGTCCCTTCTGTTGAAGTGGATGTTAAAGTGGCACCATTTGGTAAAGAGAAGGCAGTTTCTCCTGATGTTCTGGCCAACAATCCCCCAAATAAAATTGGTCACTCACTTCGTGGTTGTTTGTGGAACACTGCTGTGTGCAATTGGCTGTCGGGTTTCACCCACAATATATATGGTCAACCCGCTTTACAGTTTATCCTGGGAAGCACTTTGAGTCATCTTAACAACATGAAAAAGCACTATATGAAATGTGGATGAGGTGGGTCATGTCCAACTTTGATCACCGTGGCTTTCAAAATATTATAGAGCATTGGAAAGAATTCAAAGTAAAAGAACGAAGCTTAGAGGTGACTTGTGTCTTTAAAGCAAAATGCTGCTTTGCACATGCTCAGTGCCTCTTTTAAGATGCCATTTCAGTCCAGCCAGTTTGCCCATGCTTACTCCAATCTTAACACAAAATTGTCCCAGCTGTTGCAAGCATGCAAGTCCATATATACATAGTTTTTGCTTAATTTACTCTACTGTTAGGCCTCACCTGGAGTGTTGTGTCCAATTCTGGGCACCACACTTTAGGAAGGATATCAAGGCCTTGGAGAAGGTGCAGAGGAGATTTACTGGAATGGAACCAGGGATGAGGACTTTAGTTATGTGGAGAGACTAGAGAAGCTGGGATTGTTCTACTCAGAGCAGAGAAGGTTAAGTGGATTGTAATATAGGTGTTCAAAAATATGAGGGGTTTCGATAGAGTAGATAGGGAGAAACTGTTTCTACTGGCAGGTGCAAAGGGCCTAGATTTAAGATAATTGGCTAAAGAACCAGAGAGGAGATGAAGAGAATTTTTTTTCACACAGAGGATAGTTATAGTCTGGAATGCAGTGCCTGAAAGGGTGGTGGAAACAGATTCAATAACCACTTTCAAAACGGAATTGGATGGGTCTTGAAAAGAAAAAAATTGTAAGGATATGGGGAAAGAGCGGGACTGATTGGGTAGCTCTTCAAAAGAGCTGGCACAGGCACGATGGGCCAAATGGCCTCCTTCTTTGCTGCAATATTCTATGATTCTATGAAGTGTCAGAGCTCTAGGTGGAAACACCTGTGCTTGATGCCATAAATGCACAACTAGAAGGAACAAATCTCTCTCTGTCTGAACAATGCCCCTTTGCTTAGAACAGTGATACTATTTTCTATGCTAAATGTTCCAGTCTCTAAGGAAAGTGGGATATCTCTGTGGGTCCGAAAGTGATGTGTAAAGGTAGGTTTGGTTGAATTGTCTTTATTATTCATGAAACTTTGATAGCAGTTTTGCCTTGGGTTCTTTCTCTCAGTGCTTTGCACCAATGCCAGTGCATTAACAATCCATTATCCTCCGGGGGGGAGGTAAGTGGGTTCTCCTTGGAACTGAACTGGCACCAAGGTGACATGCTAGGCAATGGAATGTCATTATTGAGCCAGTCCTCTGTGCCGGTCTCAGTCGTCCAGTTCCTGAGTATTCCATGGCACTGCTAATAACAGCACAGACAGCCTGCCTCATCAGCAGGACCAGTCATTGGGGGCAGGGAATTCTCCCACCCAGCTGCTGTTAATCCTGCAAGCCAAAGCTCTAATGGGCAGGATGGTCCTAGCTGGACAAGCAGCTAGAAAGCTTGCCGGACAGCAATATCAATAGCAAGCTATGCGGTTTTAGCTGGTTAGACTCCTGCAATACCCCAACTCACACTCTGGGGTCCCGAAGCAGCAGCTCTTGCCAACCTGTGCCTAATACTCTCTGGAATTAGCTAAGCAGGATGCATCCCTCCAATGCGCATTCCATTCCAACAATCTTCTCTGGGATTTCCATGTGTAGGTGGGATGCATGGGAATCTCAGCTTGGATTAGATACTATTAAGCATGGTGATGGGTTTCCGCATTGGAGTTTTGTAGCTCAGTGGTTAGAGCCCTCGTTTTGCAAGCAAGACACCTGGGTTCAATTCCAGGCAGGGCGAAACCTTGGGCAAGTTTCCTTACTCCACACGCCTAATAATAATCCCTCCAAAAACAAAACAAAAAATATATATATATATTGGCAATCCACTTGATGTGGCCACAATCTCCTGAAGGAAAAATAGCCAGCAGTTACACAGTTAGAACATTAATAAAGCAAATCAAATATATATAGAGAGAATTGGGATCTGTGCATGGCTATTTTCCACGTTTACAAATATTTGCTTGGATAATATTGGCAGACATTTGTGTGAAGTGAAGTGTGAGAAAGCCAACAGGAAAATACAGTCCATTATCTCTATGTAAACGAATTTCCACCCTTTGTGATTTGACTGAAACTATTTATGATGCTACAGTACTATTCTTTTTGTAACCTGACACTCCCAAATACTTATCTGTCTGCCTGTTTATTAACTTAATAACAATATGTGGAAGTGGCTTGACCTTGAGTAAAAACTTGCTCAAACCCTCCTATGAATTGCATCTACTTTACTGTTTATTCTGGTTTCCTGAATGAGTGGCCAAATGGTTTAATGAGAAACAGAGCACTCTTTTTGAAGAATTGTACCAGTAATTCATTCACATAGCTTAGACAGTAATTGATTCCAAAGATCTTGGTCTACTCAGGAAATAAAAAAATTGTTCAGATTTTTTTATATAGAGGGTGAAATATGAACTGTTTCACATAAAGATTAAACTGAAGTTCACGCATTGCGGAAGTTTAGTTTCATAGGAATAACAATAATAGTCCTAATATTATATAGCACATTTGATATAGCGCCTTATCATATTATCAATGTCTCAAAGCGCTTTACAGGACATACTGTTAAGTAATTATGTTTTGTGGGCAAACACGGCAGCCAATTTGCAAACAGCAATGGAGCTATGGAGTGAGTGCTCAATTTTATTTGGGGGATTGTGGTCAGGTCACCGAGAGAAACTCTCTTCTCCTTTCGAATAGCGCCACAGGGATCTTTAACGACAACCTGAACAGGCAGACAGGACCTCAGTTTAATGTCTCATCCAGCATTCGAGTGTCAGCATAGATTACGAGCATGTCAGCGTGGCTCAGGTAATTGCACTCTTGTTTTTGAATTGATCAGATATTAAACCAAGGACTCGTCTGCCTAAAGGTCCAGTGGCACTATTTAAAAAGGGAAGACAGTTTGTCCTGTTTACTGGCCAACAATCCTCCTGATAAAATTGGTCATTTACTTCATGCTTGTGGTAATTGCTGTGCACAAATTGGCTGCTTCAATCGCCTATAAATACAGTCCCTGCACCTTTAGTGTAAATCCTGTGAAGCCCATTGAGACATTTATGTCATAAGGCATGCAGATCAAATGCAAGGATTATTATCATTTATTATGAACTGAATGGATCTCACAGTTATGAAGTGTGTTCAGTGCTGTTAGGCATTCTCTCTGTGTGTTATTGTGTAAAAGATTGTTTCACATGCCCTTGGGGATGTTCGGTAATTTAAGCAAGATAAATGATGGGATTAAGGTTTTATCCACTGTAGATTTTCTATGACACACATTTTCTTAACTAGTTGAATTTCTTTGTCAGATCAGATGACAGTGAAAATTCACATTGAATTGTGTCTTTTTCACTTGCGTGTGATTTGATTCTGATGGTTGAAATTGATACTTTATTTTCTACCCCAGGGATTTAAAAAAGCACTGTCCTTTAAATTAAACTGCCCAACTTTAGGCACTTTTAGGTCTTTCTCTCCCACCCACCCCTATTATTTTCAGCCTCAAAGTACACAGTCGCTTTAAAGTGAATCCTATGAAGCACTTTGCGATGGCCTC